TAGCTCAGTTTCGTTCCGCTTACATTACATTTGCCATTTGATGTTGGGCAATGTTGTGGTCACGCCAGCGTCTCTTACATTATGAGCGCGCTTTGCCACCTGCGACGCGTCACATTTGAAATAACGAAATTTTGGTCGGCAGGAAAAATGGTCCAACATGGTTCGGTTTAAAAATGCGTAACGAAAACTGAACCGAAAGCCACGTACCGAACAGTTCAATACGAATAAGTGTATCGTTACACCCCTATTATGTATCCATTTACTCTATTATTTGTCCTCTTGTCGGCAGAGTCAAGTGTGTGGAGTATGTCAGAAACTGTATACTGAATCCAGTGTAGACAGCGTCAGTGATTATAATGGGTTCTATTTGGTTTTGATGCGACGATCGCATCCTGTGTAGGGAAGTGACGTGTGACGTCACAGATCCCACAATATCCAAATGAGCCATTTTTTTAGCTTAATTAACTGCGTGAAAATGGAAGTTGCGAACATCTTTTCTTCTGCTTTGTGTCGTATATCCAAGTGAAACAGCTTCTCAAATAAGATAATGGATAACTCTTTTATAATAAACAATGCAATAAACAATGCAATACTCCATAAAAATAAGAAATTTCAATTTCAATTTCATTTTAACTAGATTTCACTTTTGACTTTAAAGCTATAGTGTCAGTCTCAACAGACTATAGTGTCAGATGACAAATTAGGATTTAACACTTTGTCATGGCTTTGTCCTGTTTGGACATTCATTTAATAAAAGCTAAATACTGCAGTGCAAAGACATGCTCATCAAGCAGTTGGTCAATCACCTCCAATGTAAACAGTTGATGAAATCATTGTCATACCAACTGTTAGCTCCATCATGAGCATAATGAAATGATTCCTTTCTGTGCATAAATGAATGTCAGCTCACCACAGCTGTTAGTTAATGCCAACGAATGTAAATAGACCCTTGCTGAGTCTGTGTGAGAACTCATTATAATGTAGTTCCTTAGAGTGAAAAAAACCCCCATTGAGTTCTGCCAAACACATCACATTTCTATTCAGTTTAAAGCCAGTTTTGGAGCAGATACATTTTTCAGGATTTTTCGCTCATATTATCGCCCATCAGATGAAACTCTTTACTTTGATTGCACATAAAAGTAAAAACGCACCTCTCTTTATCAAGCTGCATGATTTACAGTAGGGGTGTGCGATATCACGGTTTTTGATTGTGGACGATTAAAATGTCTCCACGATCTGCTTTTGAAGAAATATCGTAGTATCGTGCTACAGTGCATTCTATCAGTTGCAGTTCTGGCGCCTTCATCTCAACATACTCAACGCGACGTGCATTCACACATCACGTTAAAGGAGAACTCCGGCGCAAAATGAACCTCGGGTGTAATAACACATTGGTACAGACTAAATCGTTCCCTGAGATTTGTTTTCATGATAATCGAATATAAAGAGTTTTATCTCTAAAAACAGTTTAGCTTATAACGCTAGTATATTGGGCATCGAGTACGCAAAAAGAGATCGCTAGTTAATACCATTAACAAGGCTCAAATTAGCCCCACACTAACACGGCAGCATAATGAGTGTCCTTACATGCAAACCGAAGCATTGAGAACTTTGTAAGTGTATAGACAGTTTAATAAGAAGATACTTTACACAGACAGTACAGTTAGCGCATACAGACAGGAGCCATCTTGGAAAACAGTCTCGATCAGTCGAACCACGAAGGTGAGCGAACAGTACGTGTAGATATTGAAGATAAGATAAATTATATTTATTTTTTTATTTTCTCTGTTGCGTTCAGTGCTTCTCTTATGCGCTCAGTGCTTTCTTCCGGAAACAACGGACCATATGAGATTCCAAGTCACAGTTCAGCTCACGTATCACCGTGTTCGTGGTTTGACTAATCGAGACTGTTTTCCAAGATGGCTCCTGTCTGTATGCGCTAACTGTACTGTCTGTGTAAAGTATCTTCTTATTAAACTGTCTATACACTTACAAAGTTCTCAATGCTTCGGTTTGCATGTAAGGACACTCATTATGCTGCCGTGTTAGTGTGGGGCTAATTTGAGCCTTGTTAATGGTATTAACTAGCGATCTCTTTTTGCTTACTCGATGCCCAATATACTAGCGTTATAAGCTAAACTGTTTTTAGAGATAAAACTCTTTACATTCGATTATCATGAAAACAAATCTCAGGGAACGATTTAGTCTGTACCAATGTGTTATTACACCCGAGGTTCATTTTGCACCGGAGTTCTCCTTTAACGCAGAGGTAGAGTTACACTGACGGGACACTGCAATTCACAAAAGTTCATTATTTGCATGTGCTTTAAAGTCTTGCTGGTTAAACATGTCATTCACGTGCTGATGCGCTGTTCTAACATGCGCTTTTCTGAGCGCGTACACACGACGCTCACAGACACTAAAGGACTGTCTAACAGCTGCGCCTGAATACTGGACTAAGTTACTTTTGAGTCTTTTTGCGCTAATACTGTCAAATACACACAAGGTTTACATAAACAAAGTTGGTTATGTCTAAAGTGAAAGCAAACAGAGAAAATCTGCTTGTCAAATGCGTGTATAGGCGCGTCGCGTGCAGGTCTTAAAGAGACAGTATCCTAAAGGACCGTACACACCGGGATGAAAATCGGCGCGCGTTATTCGCCAGCGGATTCAACGCGTTTTTTGTGTTCACACCCAAGCGATTTTCGCTGACGATGAGCCGAGTGAACATGCTAATTCATTCCCTGACATTAGATGGCACTTATTGTAAAACAGAAATAGTCCTATTTTGTAGTCGCTGTCGCGTTTGTCATATAGTTCTTTATGTTCCGACACCAACGAGACCAGGAGCTCTACATTCATCTTGCCTTGCATCTTCCTCGTCTTATTTCTTCCCGGCAGTGTAGACGCTACTTGGCGTATATCTTCTTCGCCATTACGTATGTGTGCTCGGCAAGACCGTTTTGTGTTTGAGCGCCCCCAAGTTGTGTTTTACTGTAATTTCAGAAGCTCCAGACACGTGAGCAAAAGCGCCAATCTCATTGGTCGGATAGTTTTTGACACGGTGCGTCAAACCAAAAAAACGAACCCGAGGCGTTTTAAAAAAAAAATTACATTTTTACGCGTGGCGTTTTTCGCATCGGTGCACACTCACATTGGTGCCCTTTGTTTAGTCACGAGGCGTTAAACGTCGGCGTGAACAGGCCTTAATAGTAAATATGCTGCCTCTTGTCCTTAAAGAGATAGTTCACCCAATAATAAAAAACTTTGGCCTAATTGTCCGCCATTCTTTTTTATTTTTTATTTTGTTACCTATAAGGCTTTTTTAAAATAGGGACATTAGTTTGGCTGTAATGCTCAGCCACTTGCAAAATAAGACCAACATAAAAAAGAATCGTGATAAAATCGTGAATCGTGATTTTCCTGAAAAAAATCGTCATATGATATTTTTGCCATATCGCCCACCCCTAAATTGAAGCATCATTAATGTCAGTCACATTTTAGATTAGGGTCCAATTCTCACTATTAACTAAATATCAACTACAATTTTCGCCTAAATATACACCTAATTACTTCTTATTAATAGTTAGCAAGGTAGATATTAAGTTTAGGTATTGGGAATGATTAAGGGATGTAGAAAATGTTTAAATATTGCTGTTAAATTCATGCATAAATCAAGAAATCTCGCCACTGCCCTCAGCACATTTGCGCACATTTGTTAGAGCGCCCACCTCCAACGCTGGAGACCACAGTTTGAATCCTGCTCGGAGCGGGTGGAGTAGAAAATGTATAGTTATATATATATTTATATTATAGATTCGAACCGGGGTTGCTGCGGATGACGTAGCTCCGCCCCGCAATATAATGTAAGTAACAGTGGTGCAACAGCCAATGGCGAGTTTTCCCAATTTATGCATGAATTTTGCAGCAATATTGGGTCGAGTAGAACAGGTTACACAGAACAAGGCATTAATATGTGCTTTATGTGTACTAATAAACATCCTAATGTTCTAATCCTAGAAATATGCATGCTAATAAGCAACTAGTTATTAGTGAGAATTGGACCCTAAACTAAAGTGTTACCTTCATGTCTATAGCACAAATCATGTGGAACGAGTTACATACTGAAGTTTAATACTTATGTTTAATATTTCATATACTTCCAATGATACTTATAAAATGATTCAGGGTAAGCAAGTCGAAAATCGTGCATTTCTGAAACTGAATAAATTAGCTCTGAATCAAGCGAAGCCCCAGTGAGATCCTATTAAACCTTAATTTTCATAGATGTCAAATTGTATGTAATCATCTCTGCATTTTAAAATGAGCTTTTTATAGAACCAACCATGCACACATTTCCACTCGATCCCATCAGTGTCATTAACTCAAAATACTCCAAAATGTTTTTAAAAAAAAGGATTCCGAAAAATATGTGACATTTCATTTCAGCCTAAATAAACATTTAGAAAGTTCATTTTCAGGCACAGTAGGGGGTGTCATGTTGGCAGTGAGCCACATGAAGACATGAAGCCATGCGACAGCCTTCACTAGCACCTCCAGAGCTGTCATATTTCCGCATATTTCAAAAATCCAGTCATATTTGTCTGCGAATTTGAAAGAAGCAGCACATTCCTCAGCGCGTGTCTCTCTGTCTGATCCTATCTGAAAAGAGGAAACACAGCTGCAGCTGGCTGCTAATCACACATCAACAAAGACCTGCACAATTCAAAGTGTTCACAGTGAATATGCCTATGCATTTCCCTTTTGAAATCTGTGGGGAGTGTCGCATTTTCATGGTTTGGCATTTCCTATTTCAATTAGATGAAAATGCATGTAAAATATATATCTTAAAAAAATAATAAAATAATTTATCTTTTTATCACTTTTATTTGTCATGGGGCCTGTCACAGGTTAACCACATCTGAAATGTATCCGGGCCCCCTCTGGGCCCTGTCTGTGTATTATTACGATTCACATCAGCACATTTACATGAAACTCACTTTAAATGCCTCCCTGGCTGCATTGTCATCAGCATCTCCACGTGCCCATGGTTTAGCAGGGTGGCTCTGCAGACTGTGTCCAAACAAATCAATGAAGAAGAAAGCATACTCCTCCTGAGGATGACCCCGTCTCCAGAACTCCACCATCAGCTTGCGAAATATCTCCCACTTGCAGCAGACATAAACCACTGCAAACACAAGATAGAAAAACTCAGTTGAATGGGATGCGCTTGTGTGGCTGAGCTTTGGTTTGTACTGCAAATGCAAAAGCACCTGAGAGTCTGACACTTTAATTGGCAATAAGAAACTCACTCCAAGGGCTGAAGAACGGAAGTAAAGCACAAGAGGATCTAATGTTTCCCAAGCTGTACAATGTGGGATTTCCTGCCCTGGTTGGGGGCATGTTAGTTTTTGAATCACTGCAGAAGGTATTTGATTATTAGTTTTAAGAATGCTGAATGTATAATTGAGGTTGCATGAATTTTGTAGATGAAGAACAGGAAAATGTATGCAATTGCTGCATGAGAATGATTCAATATGGAGATAAAGCATAAATTACACACCTAGGGCATTATTCATGAACCTTTTATACAGTATATGATGAATAAATTAAGAGTAATGTGCATGTAAAGTGGACCTTCCCAAAAAAGGTCTTCCCAAAAGAGTTTTAAGTTAAAATATGATAAAAATGTGTTTTCAATAATTTTTTTATTCATCAATAACATTTATTTTCACATTTAAATTAATGACAACTAATTAATTATGTTTTTATACATTTTGTAGTTATATATTATGGTAAATAGTGTATTAATAATCAAGATGCAGCGTCATCAGTTTGCCTAAAAGGACACAAAAAACAAAACATTTACACATCATTTATGCTTGGTTGGGAGTGTCATTTTTTTGTACCAAGTGAGATTTTGAAAATACATTTTCATGAATTTCTGGATTTACAATTTACATAAAGATTCATTTTGCTTGTACAAGTTGTATTTTATGAACAAGGCCCCTACATTATGTTGCACAAGCACTAAAAAAGCTTGTTCTTTGTCAGTAAGTGAAAAACTAGAGAAATACATGAAATTGCCCAACACGTTTCTCATGGTTTTTTGTTGTTGTTGTTTTTTTCTCAACCAAAATCACTACATCACTTCATAATTGCAACTTCTCAACTGCCAAGTAGGAGCATCCCAGGAGGATTTGCAGGCTGCATTAATCTTGGGGGATTTAACAACATTCATATCAGCCTATCATTTCCCTCTGCTTCAGTGATAAGGTTAGGGCTATGATTGTATGAAAATAGTTTCAGGACCAACAAAAGATGTTGATTCAAGAACATGTACTAGGGTAAATCATGTTGTGCAATGAACATCTGTCACAATAATTACCAAGAACTACATGTTCCATGGTTTAATGTGTCAAGGTTTGATATTTTTTTGACAGGTAATCTGCAGTTGCATTTTAAAAAGTCTCTGTAAGTACATAAGAGACCCATCTACAATTGTCCAAACAGATAATCCTGCCCCAAACTCCCATCATTAATTGAACAGGATTTTTTCGGGATGCTCAGACAAATCGAAGTGTTTTGAGAGTTCCAAATAGCTGTACAGTTGTCTTTGCCTCTTACTCTGAGACATGAGAAAGTATTTTAACATCCAAGTTAACTAAATTTTCCCTGCTTTTATTCACCTTTCCACAGAATATTTAAAGGTATATACCCTGTAAGGCAGTGCAAGATGTACGGGATAGCAGGTAACATTTGAGTCTGTCTCAGTAGTTGAAGTGCAGAATATGTTCATATGAATCACTGGGGACAGGCAGTCATGTTCTTCACCCTCCTAAATGCCAAAGAGGGGTAAGATCGTCACGGCAATTACCCACAGACTCACTCATAATGGTGGGCTTAATGAGGAAGTGAGGGGAGGTATTAATTACAATAGTACCTTTGAAAACAAATACGTGAGACAAAGACTGAAATGTTCGGAATGGAATATTACAGTATGAGGCATATACATTTCGGTAAGTTACTGTATCTTTCAACACACACCACCTATTGATCATTTGTGTTTATTTACTATTAACTAGGCTAGTGAAGAGAGATGATCGGTTCACGTGCCTTTTGAACTGAGGCGCTACACCGATCTGTCACATTTAAAAGCGCCAAAACGGTATTTATTGTTAGAATTTCGTAATAAAATTGACAGAATCTGAGAGCTGTGAATTTGTTCCATATCAAAAGTAACCTTCTCTGTCTAGTCTGTCGGTGTCAGTGTCCTCTTTGCTTCGCGTTTTTTCTCTGCGTGAGAAAATGGATGTGTGGCGTGAGCGCGTGTGAAAAGGGTCAATTGTGTGAGTCTCACCGTCAATGCGTGAGAGTTGGCAGCTCTGTCTGTGATCAGTACAGTAAACATAGGCTACTACATACTGCAGAGATAGTAAAAGTATCTCTTTCTCCTGCTCTCATTGTGACTTTCTATCAACTGTAGAAGCTTTTGAAAGCCTCTGTTATTGTGCAGTAATTTCATAAATAATTGATCATGGAGGAACTCCTGGTGACAGAAGATTAAGTGCTGTATCTGTTGCTATGGCCGCTTGGAAAATAACTTTGATACTTGAGTGAACCAGAACGATTTATGTCCAAACTCAAAGATGTCATAAAACCTAATCGCATACCACAACAATAAAAAAAAAGCACTTGTATCTCAGGTGTGCAGCATCAGCTGCGCTGCAGTGAGGATTCACAACAGGTGGGGCTTAAATAACAGTGACAGATGTGAGGGCTCGTTATTTCGGATGAAAAGATTACCAAACAGGACCACACACAGCTCTTCATTTATGATGCACTGGGAAGCACCAGTAAATCATTATCCTCTATAACTGGCCCAATAACAGTCATGTCTTCTCTATGCAAATGGAATTGAAGAACATACGCAATAGCTCTATAGCTCCACTCATGCACTATGAGTATAGTTGAAGTGTGGACTCTTTTCTAGCAATCTATGAGCTAGTTTGCATTGAGGATGAACAGTGACCATCTCGTTCTAACTCTCAGAAACAGCAGCTCTTTTCCAAGATTTAATACACTCATCTCTTAGAAAACAATTCAGTTATGCACTTTCCCTCATAGCTTCTGTCTCCTTCACTTCACCTTTTTGTTGAACTTTCTTTCATTTCTTTTATAGTGGATAGTTATAGTTTCTTTCCTAACAACATGACTTGCTCACCACATTCACTTTTCTTGTCTTTTTAGTAACAAAACTTGTAGTAAAAGGGATTGATCAGACATTTTCCATAGATAGCAATGGATTACAATATTAACCTTCCTACTTGCATCACACTGAACACAAATTGTGGGCATTTAAGACAAATACACATTGAATTACTACTGGATCCTTCATAGCATTTATTTATTATTTATAGATACCATGATAATATCATACACCTTAGTCTGACAGTCTCACTTCTTTTGCAGCTTTAGGCAAGGCATCATACTAGGGTTTGGAACGGAGCCATTTTTTGTGTGGATTTTCAGGCCATTTGGCTTGTTAGTGGTAAATACTATATTCAGTCTTCAACACGTTGTGTCATCCTGGGATCATTGATCATAATCACAGGGTGACAAATTAATTAAGAGAAATCTCCACACCTCATTCCACTAATCAACAGGCAATCAGAATCAAAGCCCAGTCAAATGCATTCAGGGCTGGATGCTATTCTGTTGTAATTTCCCTAATGGCGACGTCCTGGTGAAAAACCAGTTTAATTGTTGACTCAATCAGTATTGAAATTGAAACAGGTCATTGTCTACAGCACACTACACTGTATTTTCTAAACAAAAAACCAGTGTGGAACAGTATTTAATGATAAAAGTTTTAAAAAGGCACATATTGTATTATCATCGCATTTTAGTTTGATTGTGCTGTTTAACATTTTTAGCAGTCCAATCTGAGGTAAGAAAGAGTTAAAAATCACACGCATCACACACATGACCAGCGTCGGCCAATAGTGAGCCTACGTGTGACGTACAACACAGAAGCGTTGCGCAGTTACACTACGTGAACTATCTCGAGGCCCACAGAGAAAAAAATTAATAGTTGAATAAAGTCGTTATTTTTGTTTGTTTTTTGCACACAAAAAGTATTCTCGTCGCTTGATAAACTTAAAGATAGAGCCACTGTAGTCACTTGGACTATTTTAACGCTGTCTTAAACTTTTCTGGGCCGGCTAGTTTCGATCCCTTAGAAGCCTATGGAGGAGTGATACAGCTCTCAGATTTAATCAAAAATATCTTAATTTGTGTTCCGAAGATGAACGAAAGCCTTACGGGGTTGGAACAACACGAGGGTGAGTAATTACTGACAGAATTTTCATTTTGGGGTGAACTAACCCTTTAACATTCAAGGTTTGGGAAAATAAATTGGCCTAATATGCTTTTTCGGATATTACCTTTCATGTAGTGTGTAATATAGCTGTTTGTGAATGTAAAAGGTCTGCAAAAATTCAAAGAATCTCCCACAAGAAAGAACCGATTCTGAAATGCCAGAAACGAGTCGTCAGTATTTCCAGTCTTACTTCCTGCAGATTTAAATTAGCATAATACCAGCCTATGGTCTTCACTGGCTGCCCTCGAATGACATCTATTTTGACCCGCCCTCAAACACTGCAGTTGTAGCTGAAGCCTGCAAGAGTTTAGTTTTTGTTGTCAACATGTCAAGAAGATGCTGTGAAAGCAAGTCCACTTTGCATACACTTCCAAAGTATGAGGACTGGAATTGATACTGTAAACGGTCATCGTTACTGTTCGTATCACTGTATAGCCTACAAGTTTAGATGAAGCCTCCAAAGCTGAAATTCAAATAAGGTAATGGGTGTTTCTTTTCTGAAACGCGGTGCACAGTAAGTGGTATGTTTTTAGAAAAGGAGGCATTTAGAGACCAGATTCTTGATCAAACTGTTTCAGACACTGTAAGAAAAGAGATGATGCTGCAATGTATGTTATGAGAAAACTTGAGTGTTTTTTTTGTCCTTGGATGGATGTAAAGTACCTATTGTATGAGACATCAACTTAGGAATCTTTAAAATAGCATAATGGGGCACTTTAATACTTTTATTCACCAAGGAGGCCTTTTGAACTTTCTATTCATCAAGGAACCACAATGTATTGTGGTTTCCACAAAAATATTAAGTA